CTATTGGATTATTTACCTTTATCTTGTTGTGGTGCTCAAGTATTTTATAAATTCTAGATATAAGTCCCTTATCTGACATGTCATTATCAAACACTTTTTCCCAGTCTGTGGCTTCCCTTGTTGGAGAAGTTTTTGGATGTGCATAGAGATTTGATTCTTAGAAGGTCCCATTCATCTATTTTATCTTCTCCTGGTTGTAGATCTTTATTGGTTTTTAATGTTGTATAATATTCCATTGTGTGAATGTGCCACAGTTTCTTTTCTTCTTTTTTCAGTTGTGATTTTAATAAAAGTTTACAGAAAGGATAGCTTTCCTCCTTCCCACTCCCTTCCTCCTCCCCCAGTGTACTTGGCAATGCCCTCTTGTAACAAAGTCTCCATCCATTTGCTCACTGATGGACACTGAGTTTATTCCCTCTTTTTAATTAACAGCTGTATTATAGATCTTAGAATATTCAGGGAAATTGTGTTCTTCCTAATTATTCTGTCTGTCCTTTCTTTTCCTTTGTGAATGGCTGTATCTATTCTTGACCTTTGCATTTCCTTATGAATTTTAGGAGCAATCGTTTTACATATGTACAAAAAGAATTAAAACTCTGATAGAATTTTCATTGGTATTGCATCAATATATTAATTTGGAGAGATGGACAATTTCACCACATAAGTCATTTAGGGCATTGTTTTGACCTTTTCACCTCTTTCAAGAATGATTTTTAATTTTAAGTGTAGAACTCTTGCACATTTTGTTAAGCTTTATTGCAATATATATGATTCTTTTTAATGCCACTATAACTAGTTAACTCTTTAACAATTCAATGGCTCAGTGAAGTTAAGACACAAACATAGGAAACACTTATCTCATGCCTACTGACATGCAATTATTGTGAAAAATCAATTAAAAAATCCTTATTTTAGCACTTGTCTACTTGCACAGCTACAGCAAACTGGCCTAAATACAGGCTGTACCTGAGGAAGAACCAACCCACCAGAAAAGCCTAACACTGCTGCTCTGAGTGAGGTCTTGGTTCCCAGGTGTCAAATCTTGCCAGCCCTTGACCCAAATCCAGCCTTCCCAGTGTTACTGATACATTTAAGTCAGCTGTCAACGTCAGCAGTCCCCAGATAAGCAAATATTGTCCAACCTGCTCACAAATCAGAACAATTAGGTACAATTTGTATCTAACTGTCAGTCAAAAGTTTGCCTTAGTACAAAGTGTTCCCTTCAATGCATTAAAAAAAAACAAACTAAAGAAGCACTTCAAGATACTGAAAATATCTTTCACAACACAGTAATAATAAGAATGATGTTCTGATGGGAACTGAGAAGCAGCACTTCTTTGTTATTGTGAACCACTGTATACACTTCAAATGTTTCATAAAGTAGGCTTTACAAGGGCTCCTTATAACCCCAATGAGCGCCAAAAAAAAATATAGAAACCTAAAAAGATTGCACATAAAATTCCAGCTTTCCATATTTACTTGGGGAAAAAAAACAACAGATCAAGCAACTAAACTCATCTTCTTCTTTCGAAGAATTATGTTAAAATTGAGTACCAGGTACCACCTTAGCTGGGAAATATATTCTTCAGGTTCCCACTACTCCCTAATATCTAATATTCAAACTCCCCCCACCCCCACAAAGTTACCAACCTGAAGGACAGCAATGGGTAACAGGGCAATGTCACCCACCTTGAAGTCAGATGTTTGAGTTTGTAATCTCTTTTTCTCACTGTTTGAAATTCAGGAGATTTACGTGTTTCATTTTATAGAGGGGATATATAAGGAACAAAAAACGCAAACCCACTGCCATGGAGTCAATTCCAGTGTATACTGACCCTCCAGTGGGTGACCAAGGTGGTTACCCAGTTTTTTTGTTTTTGTTTTTGTTTTTTTCATCTTTCTCCCTTGAGCAGCTGGTGGGTTTGAACTGCCAACCCTTCAGTTAGCACCCCAATATAGTAACCCATTATACCAGCAGCGGTCTTCCATTGAGGGATCCAAAACTAAACCCACTGCTGTCAGGGTGGTTCTGACTCACAGCACAACTCAAGGCTGAAATCGTTGCTGGAGGAGACCGCCTACTTTTCTCCTACTGGTGGATTCAAACTGCTAACATTTTTGTTAGTTACATACTACATCATCCTTCATCTAAGGATGCTGTTGCTGTGTGCCGTTGAGGTAGAACCGACCCAAAACTGACCCTCCAGTCGGTTTTCAGAGGTGATAAATGGCACAGGAGGAAACAGTCCAGTTTTCTCCCACAAGGCAGCTGGTATGTTCAACACCACCCTCTAAATACTGGTGGATTTTCTCTCTCTTCACTTTATGTTTATTTTATATTGATTTGCATACAAGGTTTGTAGACATTGTGTATCTTTCATGTAAAAGGCCTTTAAGACTCAGCTTAAATATTTTCTAGAAAATATTTCCCACTATCCCAGTGCCCATTGCATCCCTACTTCTGTATACTTTAATCCAGCACCTATCTGGTTTTATTCTGAATCATTCCCTATGCCACTCCCAAAACTCAGTCTAGAGATTATGCTGTTATGAAAAACAATGTATATGAACTTCGTATGCAAATCAGTATAAAATAAATTTTTTTAAAAAATTATACAATGACTAGGGATAACAGAAGGAGAGTTGATGCCTTTACATTGTGGTGCTAGAGAAGAGTATTGAATATACCACGGGCTGCTAGAACAAACAAATTCATCCTGGAGAGGGTGAAGCCAGGCTGTTCCTTGGAGGCAAGGATTCTGAAGCTCCAACTGACATACTTTGAACATGTTGCAAGGCGGAACCACTCCTTGGAGAGGGACGTCATGCTTGGGACGGGACAGCACAGGAGACAAAGACCCTTGATGAGATGGATTTATCCAGTCACTAGGGTAATGAGGATAGGTGTGTTGGAGACAATAAGATTGGCAAGGGATAGAGCAGGGTTTAGGGCTGTTGTACTTAGGGTCACTATGAGTCTGAGGCGACTTGCTGGCATATAACAACAAGAAGAACAATATTTTTAAAAGGATGAATGGATTAAAAAAGGATGCATCAGACAAGGTTACTGTGTCTCTATCCAAGAGCAGTAAACTTAAACACAGACCCTGAAGAAGACACAAGCTTTTCTCTAATCTTTCAAGAATAATCTATCAGCACTCCTGGACGTGAAATGTAAATAACAGTACTGCTAACCTTCAAGTCAAACATACAAGCACTTCGAGCTCAACCAGGTCGCCTTACCTAGTTTCTTGTTCACATCACTTTGAGCCTTTCTTGTGCTCTTTTCAATTTCATCCACAAGCCTCTGGCTTTCTGCCACCAGGCGTTCAGATCTGGACCTCTGGGCATCTGCACTGTGGTACTGGTTCTTGTTAGCAATGTGCCATTCTGCAGGAAGGAACTTAGGGGGAGACTGTAGCAGTTTGGCCATTTGATGTTTCCAAAGTAAGTCCTAATCAAAAGCAGGTTCCTTTTAGATTAGCTGAAAAGCAAATGATCCTTTTTAATGTCAGTCTTTATTAAAGTGTGACATACATACCCAAAATATAAGTAAGACATCATCTGTACACACAAAGCAAGCACATAACCACCACCCAGGTAAAGAAACAGCATTACTGGTACCTGCAACCTTCTTGTGCCCACAGATAACCACTATCCTGACTCTGAAAACTCTGAAATTAATTTTGCTGCATTTAAAAATGAAATATAAAAATCCTACTCTATATATTATTTTGTAGCTGACTCCTTTTATTCAACATAATTGTATGTTTGTAAAATAGCTCGTTCCTTCTCAGGAACTCGTGTGGTGACCACTGTAAATTTATGTCTTTTCTGTTGTGACTATATCTTTGACGGAGCTCTGGTGCACTAGTTGCTTGAGAGTGGCCCTGCCAGCGCAGAGGTTGGAATCCACCAGCTACTCTGGTGAGAAAGACAATCTCCAGCCTCTGAAAACCCGCTGGAGAGTCAGCTATGAGTTGATTCCAGCCCGGGGGGAATGTGAGAGAGAGATGCATATTTGGTTCCCTCTCCGGCTATATAATACAAAAATGTCATCAATATTCTCACATGTCTTTTGGTGAACAGGTGGATGCATTTTTACAACTCGATGGACTTCATCACAGGGTAGTGCTCAGTTTTAACAAATACTTTCAAAAGAGGACGGCAGCAAGAAATAGACTAAAATTTATCCCCCTTATCTGCGCCTAGTTCTGACCTCCTGCAGAGCTGGTATGCACCACCATGAGTACCCTTACTCCTTACTCAAACTCTCAAATCGGAATCTCTGAATCTGAATCTCTGATGCTCTTCTGGACACATAATGATGGCCCTTTACCTGGCTCACCCCTCTCAGACAACACAAGATCTCCCCAATTCCTCCCAGGTCAAAACTACCCAAGCGTGTCTGAGGTTAACTGAAAACTGGGGAAGTGTGAGCAGGTCCCAAGAGAATGCAGGATCTAAATTGAGGAACTCGCCCACTGATATGGATTGGTAGTGTGCGAGCTGAGGTAACTTACCTTAATGTCTGAAATAAATGGACTTGGAGAAGTCTCTGCACGCCTTCTAGAGCTCCAGGCGCCCGCAGAGCAAGGGAGTAAACAGCGCCGTCTCCGTGGCAACCGATGACGTTGCAGCACAGTAGGCGGGATCTGCCCAGATGTAACCTAGTCACAATGTTCTGCAGAGCCTTGAGTTCTATCCACCAAGAAACAGGAAAGGAGCCCAGGGATTGAAAGGCCAGTTGTTGTTGTTGTTGTTGTTGTTGTTGTTGTTGGGTGCTGTCGGGTTATCAGACTCAAAGCGACCTGTGCACAGTAGATCTGAGCCCCGCCCTTCCCTGACCAGCCTCTGCATCTCTGCCAGGCTGGAAGCTATTGTTGTAAGTCACTGTATCAGTCCACCTTGAGTGTCTTTCTTGTCCCTGTCCCTCTACCTCTCCCATCATGATGTCTTTTTCCGAGGACGGGATCTTCCTAACAACACGCCCAAAGTGTGTGACATGAAGTTTCACCACCTGAATCTAAAAGAAACTCAAAGCAAGTCCAATCCCCGGGTCTGGAGTCAGGAGACTGGTGCTAGCCCAGCCTGCTGCCAGCTGCTTGGCCTCTGGCCTCTTTCCTCCTGCTGGGTCTCTGACTCCTCACAGTGAAGCAGGCCCCTGTGGAGCTTCTGGATGCTCACACCAGGGAGAGATCCAGAGCCGCAGGTGGAGGTGGAGTTGAGAGGCAGCGCCTGAGTCCTGTGGGAGAAGAGCTGGGATGTGGGAGACTTGGAGAGGTCACTCAAGGGGTCCGAAGGCAATGTTCCTGACTGGCCCGTTGGCAAGCCTGGGAGGGTGCTGGGCCCGGACCTGCAAGCCAGAACTGGGTTTCAGTTCCTTCCTACTCTCTCTACAAAACGACCAGATTGGGAGTGAAGCGTTTTGAATATATTCTTTATAACTGTCATATTGCCAAAGTACTTTGCTGTTGTTGAGTGCCTTTGAGTCTTTGACAACTCACGGCAACGCTCTGAACAACAGATCTGAACTTTGCTCTCTCCTGTGTCATCCTCATCATCTCTGATATACTTGAGTCCATTGTTACAGTCACTGTGTCAGTTCTTCTCACTGAGGGTCTCGCTCTCTTTCACTGACCCTCTATTTTTCCTGGAGTGGAGTGATGTCTTTTTCCAAGGACTGGTCCTTCCTAGCAATATGCCCAAAGCATGTGAGATGAAGTTTCATTAACTACTGCCTCCAAGGAGTACCTCTGTTGCACTTTCTCTAAGACAGTATATAGGATACTCAGTACTCTTCTCCAACACTAGAACTCAACTACATTGATTCTTCTTCCACAACTCAGTGACACTGATTCTTCTTCTAGCATCCTTACTCATTTTCCAGCTTTCAGATACATAGCAAATATTTAGAAAGACCATGGCTTGAATCAGGTGCACCTTGGTCTTTAAGGTGACATCACCTTTAAAGTGCTCTTTAGCACTTTAGAAAGGTCCTTGAACGCAGATCTTCCCAATGCAACTCTTTAAAAAAAAATTCTTATCTGCGGTACCAAGGGTGTTGATGGTAGATCCAAAAATGAAACCATTAACAACTTTATATTTTTTCCTCCATCTATCATGATGTAACGGAGTTCTGGTGGCCGAGTGGTAAGAAACTGTGCTGTAATGCCAAAGACATGTGGTTCAAATTGACCAGCTACTCTACGGGAGAAAGACGGACATCTCACGTGTCATTTACTGTCTCAGAAACACATGCTCAAGGGTCAGTTATGGGTCAGTTCTGACTCAGTGGTAGGTACACTACCACTACAACAATCATGTCATTGTCTACTGGCCTAGTGGTGAGGATTTTTGTTTTCTTGATATTGAGATGCAATTCATACTGAAGGCTGCAGTCTTGATCTTCTGCAGCAAGTAGTTCAAGTCCTCTTCACTTTCAGCAAGCAAGGTTGTGTCATTTGTAAAATGAAGATTACTGATGAGTCTTTCTCCAGCCCTGACACCACATTCTCCATGTACTATAGTTTATCAAATGATTTGCTCAAGGTATAGATTAAATTGGTATGGAAAAGGGATACAATATTGAAGTACACCTTTCCTGATTTTAAACCATGCAGTGTTCCCTGGTTCTGTTCAGGCAACAGCATCTTGATATATGTATCAATTTCTCATAAGCAAATTAACTGTTCCGGGATTCCCATTCTTCTTAATATCAGCTGTAATTTGTTGCAATCCACATGGTCAAATGCCTTTGCATAGTAATAAAACATAAATAAACATTTTTTGGGTATTCTCTGCATTCAACCAAGATCCATCCGACATAAGTAATTATATTTCTGGTGTTGTGGCCTCTTCTGAAAAACTTGAATTTCTGGCAGTTCCATGTCAATGTACTGTTCTAGCCTATTTAAAAGCATCTCTTGGATTTTACTTGCATGTGATATTAATGATATTGTTCAATAATTCCCACATTCTGTTGGACCACCTTTTTTTGGAAGGGGAGCATCTATAGATCTCTTCTAGTCAGGTGGCCAATTAGCTGTCTTCCAAATTCCTGGGCAGACTAGTGAGTATGTCCAGAGCTGCCTTTGTTTGTTGAAACATGTCGATTGGTATTCTCCTGGGGCCATTATTTTGCCATTGCCATTGCCTTCAGGGTAGCTTGAACTTCTTCTTTCATTACCAGTGACTCTTGATCACATGCTACTTCCTGAAATGAGTCAATATCTATTAATTCTTCTAGGTACGATGACTCTGTGTATTCCTTCTATCTTCTTTTCATGCTTCCTGCATCATTTAAGATTTTCCCCATGGGATCTTTCAGTAGTGCAAGTCATGGCTTGTATTGTTCGTCAGTTCTTTCAGCTTGAAAAAAAAAAGCCAAGTAAGTCCTTCCCTTTTGATTTTCTAAGTCTAGTTTTTCTCACATTTTATTATAATACTTAGCTTTGTCTTCTCAAGCTGCTCTTTGAACTCTTCATCTTTTTTACTTCGGCCTTTCTTCCCTTTGTTTTGTTCCCTCATTCTGGTGCAGTTTTCAAAGTCTCTTCTGACATCCATTCTGGATTTTTCTTTCTACTTTGTCTTTGTAATGACCTTTTGTTTTCTTCCTGTATGATATCCTTGATGTCATTCCACAACTCCTCTATTCTTCAATTATTAGTGTTCAATACCTCAAATACACTCTTGAGATGCTTGCTTGTTTTTGTTGTGGTGTTGGTTGTTTTTTTTTAATTCAGATGGGATAGACTCAAGATCATATTTTAATTCTTGTGTAATTGTTTCATTTTCTTCAGCTTCATTTTTAACTAGTACATGAATAATTGATAGTCTATTCCATAGTAATCATCTGGACTGGTTTTGACCATAATATTGAGTTTCTCCAATAATTCCTTTCTAAATGTAGTCAGTTTGATTCCTGTGTAGATTCAGGTGAAGTCCATGCATATAATCACTGTTTATGATTTTTAAAGGCCCTTTGCATTGAGTAAACCATTGATTGTATAAAATTCTGTAACTGGATCTCCAGCCTCTTTCCTATCACCAGGGCCATAGTTTCCAACTAGAATTCCATCTTCTTTTCCAGCTTCTGCATTTCAGTTACCAATTATATTCATGTATCTTGGAAAAGAATACATTAAGTATTTCTCAAGCTGAAAAAACTGAATAACAGATTCAAGTCATGAGTTGTAATACTGAAGGATTTTATTAGTAAAATCTTGAATGATGCTGGAAGTATCAGTAGAAAATGGAAAGAATACACAGAGATGTACTAAAAAGAACTGCTTGATAGGCATGGAAGCATTTCAGAAAGTAGCATAAGATCAAGGACCAATGGGAATGAAAGGAATGTCCAAGCCCCACTGAAGGCCCTAGGAACTGGTGAAAATACCAGTTAAAATGTTTCAGCAAAGAGATACAGCCCTGGGCCCGCT